TAAAAAGTTGTATACAATTTATTGCAAAAAAATGTCATTTTTTTGACTAAATAAAATTTTAGGTCTAAAATTTCTATATGATACCGGCAATATACACATCCTTTACCACATAGAAAAGCGTTTTCGAGTTTTAAATTTTAAAATATGTATGGTCCGAAAAAAAATTTAACATGGCGGTCCTCAAAATGGCGTCCGAAACAAATTTATTTTTGAAAATTTTGAGGGCGCTCTAACTCGAAAACTATGAACTTTTTCGAAAAAATGAGAAGTATGAAAAGTTATCAGAATTCATCGAGGAAAACACTAAAATTTTTTCTGATTTTTCGGTGACATTTTTGAAAATTTTTTTATTCCATTACGCGTTGCCTGCAAAAAGACGCTATTTCTTAAAAAATAAATATTGCGAAAAATATCACTTCGTCGACTCGCCTTCAGAGGTCTATAGTTATTCTCAAATTCTCGCAAGTGCTTTGACACACGTATAATTCTTCATATAGTACCTCGACTTAACATCTAACACAGGCGTATAAGGTAGGCTCCCACTACATTACCTTACTGATGAGTCCAGTAGTGGAAGCCGGGATGAAACGCCAACTTGTGATATTCTTCGCAATATACTAAAATTAATAAGATCCAATTATTTACGGAATTTTAAATTAACATCTTTATATTTATTTGTAATTAATCAAGTATTTATTGGTGATATTATAATACTACTGTAGTATTTATGCGTTATGTCTGAATGTTATCATCGCGCAATTATGGGGGGACTACATATGTAGTATATATAAAAATTCACACATATTTATAATAAGCACTTTGATCTAGCTTTGACCGTTATAGGCGATAATTCTTTCCTTGTTTTTTATTCCAATTTTTTGAAAATTTTCTAGAATTTACGAAAAATTCTGAAAAAATTCTGAAATATTTCTTGACGCATTCTAAGTATCTTTTGTTCCTTATCATTTTTTCTAGAAGTCGATAGTTTTCGAGGGAAGAAATGCTGAACTTTCTATATAACAGATAAATATATGGGCAAATCTACAGAACTTTTACCTTTTACTGTAACTCTTACTTACTGTAACTTAATTAAGTCACACACACACACACACACAATAATTCATAATTTGTTTTTCAGGTTAAAAGATATAAATTGGCATATCAAAGGGTAGGATGCTGCATCATATATTACCTATTTACAGCACATCAAGATGTTGGGATTCATTATTATTTTTATTTATTTTGTAGCGTACCTCACCGTTCTCTACGTGATTTTATCTTTATATGGTAGGTTTGTTCGCGTCGCACGCTCCAACATGCTCCAATATGCTCGTTGGAGAGAGTATAAATCGTGTTCGTTTATTTTATTTTACTTTATTTTATTTTATTATACTCCATTTTTCATCACCGATCTGACGCGAATACTCATCTTGCCGAACCTTGTACGACACGCATATACGACGAGCTAATTCAATATCAGGAGGAATCATAGAGTAAGTTAGTCTTGGGTAAATTACTTTTTTTTTTAACTATAAGTTAAGGGCGCTTAAAAAGCCCGAATTTAAATGTAAATTATATTCCTTAGATTTCTATTATGTTTTTTAGGGAAAACGGAATAATTTTCAAGCATTTTCCTCGATTGACGTTTCATTTGACATTGATGCCGAGATCGACGGCGATGTCGACGACTCTGACGGAGTCATAGTTCCGGAACTTCAGGGTATACTATCCAAATGGACAAATTACATACATGGCTGGCAAACTAGATTTATTGTACTCAAAGATGGTACTTTGTCTTATTTATACATTTAACATTGTAAACACTAATGACGTAAATAGTGAAGATACTAATATACAATGGTTATGGAAGCGAGAATAGTCTCAAACGACACGGTAGTGCCATTTTGCTCATATCAAATACACAATCGACAACGAGTGCTAGTAGTCTTATTAAACGTGGCATTAGAGGATTGAAGGAAAAGTTGGCCGAAATTGAAACATTTAGAGACATTCTGTTCAAGCAGATCGATACTCTGCAAAAATATTTCGATAATTGTGCAGAAAATGCCAAGAATACTTCTAAAGAAGGTAACAATTTTTATCGTAAATTTTGTTCATGTTTTTGTCTTTGATTCCAAATATTTCGAATAAATTCATAACATACGATGTAAATATATAGTGCACAATATACATCTTAAATACATAATTATAAAATTTATAAATATTAACGTCTATATTGGACTCTCGATAAACAAACAATCAAATATATTACAAAACAGGCAAGTGAGAGTAAATTTAAAATCTACGCGGTTGTCAATGCGTTAAAATATAGATATATTAAAAAATCTCTTTCAAAAGATTACAAAAATTACAAAATTACAAAATTCATACGTTTCGACTGAATTCCAGTCATCTTCAGTGAAATTAAATTACAAAAAATATATACATATCCTAAACCAACTCCATGTTGGTGACGTCTTGCGAACAGGGGGACCTTCGTGAATGCTCATAGCTAAAGATTCGATAGAATTAGTAGAATGAGTAGCAAAAGAATTAGTAAAAATAGTATTAATAGATTTGTTATAAGGAACGATAATGTTATTATAACGAGAGGTAAATTGATTTGAATTGTCGGCATCTCTTAATGTGCCTTTGAATAATTTATTGTTAAAAATATTGAGAGGTAACTGTACCTCAATAGTAGACAAAGAAAGTGGATTCTTAATTTCCTTTTCTTTGTTACTTATAAATGAGGTAGATGGAGCAAAATTTGAATTTTTCTTATTTGTTAGTTTGGATTTTTTCAGTGGTAAATTATTATCAATGTTATTTGTACTACATAGTGTTTGGTTTTTTGTATTGCATGCAATGAGTGAATTTTCGGTTGTGGTTTTTGTTTCAGTCAAACTTGGTTGGGTATGAGGAGAAACATTACCTAATATTTGAGTTTTTGAGCTCAAATTTTTATTAATACACGAAAATTCTGGATAATTTGCGTGCAAAGGAGGTTTACTAGTGCTTTGAGCGACCTCTACAAGTCGAATAGTACACTGAGAAAAATATCCAGGCTTTTTCCGATCATTATAATGATCGGATTGTCCGTCCAAAAATTAACAAACGATTATTTTCGATTATCTTAATCGGACAAAAGATCCGATCAAATATTTGATCGGACATAATGTGGTCGAAAATAGTCCGTTCAAAAAATAATGATCGGATGTTTCTCATCGGATATTCCGATAAATTTATTTCCGATTAAATATTTGATCGGATCTTTTGTCCGATCAAGGTAATCGGAAATAACCGTTTGTTAATTTTTGGACGGACAATCCGATCATTAATGATTGGAAAAAGCCTGGATATTTTTCTCAGTGCAGCGATTTTATATGAAATATACATATATATAGGGTACACACACAACACACACACACACACACACACACACACACACACACGCACGCACGCACGCACGTACGCACGCACGCACGCACGCCCGCACGCACGCACGCACGCCCGCACGCACGCACACACCCTATATATGTATATATAATATATGCCGTCTACGTCGGCAATAACGCGCGTCAGAATGAACGAACGAGACGAGCCGAAACGTGTCTGTTATGGTCGAGTAATCCTTCAGAACTATAAGTATAATGACACCAGCCTAGAATAAAGAGCCTATATGGAAATAATATCCGATCACACGTAACCATTCCGTGATTGGCCAGCCCCTTCCAATTCCATATCAAATCTGATCGGATAAAATACTCTCTTTTTATCCGTTCAAAGTTAATGTCCGATCAAGTTGTACGTTTATCCGATGAAATTTGAACGGATAGGCATATGGCGGTTCATATTCCGTTCACATGTAATCGGAAATTACATTTCATCGGATAAAGGTGTTCGTCACCTCATCGAATAACCCTGAATCCGATCGAAATTGATCGGAAAAAGCAGTAGAACGGTTATTACCGATCAAAAACATTGGATATCTTTCTCAGTGTAGATAGACATGATGTTTTAAGGGCTGAAAATGGGAGTTGAAATATTAAATTTTTTAATAAACGGTTGTATTTGCGAATAATGCTCTTAGCTGTAATTTCATATATTTATGTATTTTGATGTGCTTATTACGAATATGATAAAAAAATTGTCGCCAAGGTCATTTTCAAGTCAAAACTAAAAAAAAAACCCTAAAAAATCGCGTTTTTTCGTATCTTTTTAGTCATATATTCTTTTATTTCGAAAAATATAACTTTCTTTAATAAGTAAATACATATTTGATAGATTCCGAATTGGACTAATTTATAAAACATATCACACGCATTAGGTTATCTCGCTCTCTGCCGAACCCAGGAATAACCAACGTGAAGGTGGTGAGTGTATATTCCCTTTTTTTTTGTTTTTTTTTTGCCCATTTTTAATTTTTTTTTTATTTTCTTGTTTTATTTTTTTTTTTATAGTTTAACTTCTTTTTCTCAATTTTTTTCTGTTTTTTTTTTTAAGATTTCTCTTTTCGATTTTATTATTGTTACCGTGTATTATAACTGGTGATTTGTGCAATTCATTGAAAAGATACTTGTTCAAATATTTACTTCATTTCCATAAGATAGTTCCTTCGGAAAAAAAACAATTCTGCAGGAATAATAGAGTAAGTATGAGAGAGAGAGAGAGAGAGTGAGGGGGGAGGGAGGGAAGTGCAGTCTCGAACATGCTCCATAGTGGTAATACGCAGTAGTAAAGGCTGCGAGAGCGCAGACGAATCAGGAGTGACAGGAGTATGAGTACGATTCCCGAAGCTGGAGCTTCGAGACTGGACTCTGGAGTCAGTTTTAGTTCGTCCGCAAGTGTGATCTCTTTGGAAACTCTTCCGCAGAAATAAGTAACAGTTTATTAGAAAATATTAAGATATAAAATTTTCAGATAACACACACACACACACCACACACACACACACACACACACACATATAGTTCATGGGTATATCTAATCTTTACGTCAATATGTTTGCTTCTCCTATTTACTATATGTTTTTAATTGTAAATATGAAAAATTTTAAAAATTTCTGACAGATGATCACGCGGAATAACATAAGCATACATATAAATAAAATTATTTAAAATTTTATTTACAGGAAGTAAAGCAAGAAACTCACCGAACGATTCAGAAACAGAAACAAGAAGATAAAAGAGATCCATATAAGATGTATTCCTCGACTACTAAACAAAGTTTACCTGCGCTCGCCATGCCGTCTTTGTCATCTCTTTGTTGCTCCACAAGTCTTTTCAACTACATCAAACCCACCGGCAGAATACATACCGGCTCCGTCCGCGCCGGTAGGAAATGTTCCGGTATCATCCACTCTGGGACGATACGTACCGGCCTCGTATTTACCAGTAAGATACGTACCGGCTTCACACACGCCAGCAAGATATGTTATACCGGCTTCACACACGCCAGCAGGATACGTTATACCAGCTTCCCACACGCCGACAGGATACATACCGGTATCGTCTTGGCCGGCCGGATACATACAGTTTTTCAAATAAATTTACGATTATAAGTATAGTATTATCTGTTATATCAGAAGGTTATCGTCGCTTTCTTCATTATTAATGCCAACTATTATAACATATATAACATATATTCGTGAATCATGTCGATCACTGATTGTACGAATAGATTTGTACCGAGCACAAATAAGCGATTACATTCAAGATCTCCACGTTACAATTGTATTTATCTTCCTTGAAACATTTATGCTAAAAGCAAGCTGAAGTTAAAATATATCTGACAATAAGTCGTGGGAGATATCCCGTTTTAATCTCTGGATTTGAGAGAGAGATATACGAATTACAAATCCTGAATTCGTGCGAGCAGGAATTTTAACAGATTCTCTTTGTTTAAATGGAAGTGATTGACCACGCCAGGTAATGTTATTTTCAGCATAGTTTATGCATGCGTTTTGTTCAATAAAAAATGTGGAGCCTAATATTCCTTGTGGAATTATAGGGAAGTCATTGGAGACGACGTGAAATACTACCGGGACAGACATTGCATTGATTTGAACGGATCCAAGCGTGTTAACCACATTTTCTGTTATACCGGTAAGTTGCAAAATCTCATTAGTATTAATAGTTAAGTTTTCATTAATGCAGTTTCGTTTTACTGTATTAGGCTGATCGCCTGTATCTAGCATAAATGCTACTGGTCCTCTGAAAGAGGCGGATTGAAGCTCGATGACGGGTATGTCGCCGGTGTCGGACCGGAGAGCGTATAATGAATAATCCTCGATGACACATTCTAGTGGAAGGACGGGACAAACATTCTCTGGCCTCGTACGGTCCCGCTGGCCGAGGTCTCGAAGCGATTTACCGTTTGTGGAGATGCAGGTACATTATTGTTAATATTATTGTTATTAATATTAGGATTGTTGAATCTATATTGTCTCTTTCGACATTCATTGAACAAATGCCCATAATTTTTGCAATATGTGCAGATTTTGCGAGCGCCGTCGAACGCGTTAGGCGTCGCAGGCTGAATGGTTGCAGGAACGATAGACGAGCCGGCAGGGGCGTCATGCGGTAAGATCCCCACGGGGCCCCGAGCACCACCTTTGAATCTTTAATCGCTTACATATAAACTACCGACGTACTATCACGAATTAAAACAAATAATTAACTAATATACGTAGTTCCCCCAAATTGCGTGCCGAACAATCGTTGGTCTTGAAACGCGCGCAACTCTAATAATATGAAAAAACTAAATCTGGAAATAATTATTCTTATTGCGAAAAATATTACCTCGGTCGGAAGTCGAATCCAGATACCTTGCTATAGACTTTGTATTCGAACTAAGATGATAATGTCCAAATTAGTTTAGTATTTCTTACCTCACACTTTAATATAATGTATAGTTTGTATGCGCTACCATCATGGATGTAATTTAATTTAATTTTTATTTTGAATTGTTATTTTTAAATATATTAATTATATGTACTAAAATATATTAATTTAATATGTACTAAAGAAGACCTTAACCGTAGTTCAAAACGTATACGCTTTATTATTCATTTCAAATAAATTGTATAAAATGTACACACTGATAACTTGTGTTGGCTCATATTGGCATTTTATTTGTTTCTTTTGATTTATTCAACTGAGCCTTTTGATTATTTTGCTTATAAAATAAAATGTAGAGAGTGTCAATAAATAAAAAAGAACGCAAAAGATGGTAATCTACATCGTGGTGATATATACTTAGTAGTTATAATTAGGGTCAGGATGTTCGGACTCACGGGCTCCGCGCGGAGAATCGCTGCATGCGAGTAAGATGCTTGCTGAACAAACTCTCCACGCTTTGTTTACATTTGGAGACACGGTAATGTCTCGGCGCTATTGAATTCACCTGCGCCAGCGGTTCTTCGCGCGGAGCTTGTGACCGAGCTGGAATGTCCGGACCTAGGCCGTAGTTATAATAATAGAGGTGTAGTAAAAAGAAATCCATTATTTTTCCATTATAATTTCATGCAAAAATAATGAATTTCTTTTTACGACATCTAATATTAAAAATTAGAGCAAAATTGCAAATGAACATATCCCTTTATAAGAACACATAACTTCGATGATGTCAGATAACGTAATGAAATTAAGTTAATAAAATTAATGTAATAGTTAAGGTAATGTAATAGTTAAAATTAAAATTTACGTAATAAAGTTAAAATAAAAGTTGAAAGAATAAAAAATAAACTTAACTAAAATTAAGGTAAGATTAAAATTAACTTAAGTTAAAAAAAAGTTAATTTTAAAAAAATTATTTTTGGCATCAGAATGTAATTTTTCTTAAAATAAAATTAAATAACAATTACAATTTAAATCAAATTTAAATAACAATTACAATTTAGATTATTATATAGGTATAAAGTATATAGTAACATATATAGGTAAATTTCATTTTTTTTTATTAAATTAAAATTTACGAACAAAATAATTTTAGAAGGATAATGAATTTTGTAATATTTACCAGATGATAACGAATTATTATTTGTCTTTATTGTAACATTGAGAATGACCCGATCGGAGTCGCAACATTTGTAGCTATACATATATTATTATTATTATTTGAATGAAAGTTTTTTGTTTGTTACATCATCGGCTCTTTGCCCCTTTTTTATTTATATTGTTTTAATTTTGTTATTCACACATATAAGTTACATGATACAATTATCATAAAATACAAAATATTGATGACATTGCAGTATTACATGTAAAAATGAATAATAAATTAATAATTATTATTACATTAAATATGATTATAAAATTATTTAATTTTTTGATTAAAAAAATTTGTAAGCGTATGTCACAAAAATCAAGCAGTTTTAATAAATAATTTCAAAATACAAAAATTAAAAAAAGAATACTTAAAATTAAAAAATATATAAATATAGTGCATATAAGAGTCAAAGAATAATAAAAAAAAATAATAAGAAAAAATATTTATGTTTATTTTAAAATTAATAATAATACAATTAAATAATAAACCTTTTTGACATAATAAAATTATATATTTATAAAATATAAAATAAAATTATATGTCTACTACATATGTGTTTTGGCTTTATATTAAGCCCTCTTCAAATATAAAAATATTATTACGCAAGTAAATAATAACTTTATAGAATGCGTTCGAGGAGATGCTATTCACATTATAAACGCAAACGCTATCAATACTGTTCCTGGAATCAATAACGCAATAACGTTAGCAAGCTCCGTGAACGACGTTAGCGTAGCGTCTTCCTAACATACATTTTGACAAGTTTCAACAAAAGACCAATGAAAAATGACATCTTTTTGTTAAATAATGGTAAACAAGGACAACAAATTCAATATGTTACATTATACAAATTCGTCCCTTGCTGAAAAACATTTTTTGCCTATGGAAAAGTGTTCGTAAAGCACACATTAGAAGTTACAGATTCACAGGAAATCAAAAGAAATTTGCATTTCGAAATTAAATTACTATTATAATAATAATAAAAGGTGGTAAACTTAGTTCCTGCCGCTCAAGGGTGCCAGCGCTGGTATGTTTCGAGTTTCAACGGTGGTCGCATGTCTTTTATATATTAGACATTTCTGCATATGACATATTGATGACATCATTTGACATATTGATAATATTAATGAATCCCCAGTTATTGTATTAATAAATTAACTTCATTAAATTGGACAATTTAAGTTTGACAATGATTAACGACCACTCGGACCAAAATTTTCTTCAGAGTGTTACAAGCGTTATATATTAACTATATAATTTTTAAATTTACAAATAATGTTATATTATGAGAATTAGTTTCTATATAATACGTAAAACACTTTATCGAAGTTATCTACTTCAACTCTAATCGATACGACGTTAAAAGCGTCGTAAATAAATATCATCCATGAACTACTTTGGAACCTAGTATAAAGAATTAATATTGAAAGAATAGTTACGATTATAGTAATTTGTATGCTTGAATAAAGTATACGTACAAATAAAAATTTCACTAGAGCAAAGCAATTTATTCTGTATCATATGTGTACTTATATAGTCGCTCAGTACTTATTAGTTGATACACGTATGTATCAATTTTATCCTCCAATATAAGCACTTCACAGTGTAATTCTTCTGCAGTTTTTAAAGGATCTTTACAAACTATTTCTGAAATTCTTATAAAAAATATTTAAACTCGTACGTTTGCCTTTCATGCAGCAAAAATTATTTCAAGTTACTAGTAGACGATCGAAAAACTATGACAAAATCGTTACAGTCAACACTGGCACCATTATTTATTATAAGTTCGTTCCACTGTTTGAGCTTGTTTGAATATCCACATGGACAACCTAGGTTGTATTTCTCTTGCCTGTATGCTTTGGCTGTATTGGGTACTCTTATATACTTCATTCATTATAAAATATACTACCAATGGCATAATTTAATAGACTTTGCAGACATCATCAACCTTTTATGTGTCTTGATTGCCCTTATGTCTATTCTTATCAGCTTCTATCGTTATAAGGTAAAATTTTTAATTCTTTCCCAGTCTCTATTACTTGATCTTTGAATGTTTCTTAAATTTAAACGGATTTTTAATTGAAATTAAAGAAGTTTGATATGTAATAACAAATTTTTTATTTTGGATGAATACGATTTTGTAAATTTTTTTTAAAAGAATCAATTTTAATATTAATATATTAATATTTATTGTAGACAAAGTTTGTTTGATAAAATTAAGATTTGTATTTATATTATTGCGACCATGAATTCGTTTTTAAAATAATTTATTTATGTCTTATGTATAAGAACTAACTAAATTGCAATAAAACTTTAGCTACCATTTTTGGTAGCTCTACTGTACACATTGCAATAGCAATTTTTATTACTTCAAGTATAAACTTATAATAGTTTCTATTTTATGTTGCATAAAAATCTAAATGATTTTTTAAAGGAATTGAAGATATGTTTACATGAACTCTCCATAGTAGACGACACATTGGAAGCACTCGGTGTTCCAAAGAAATACCAAGTGCTGCGTAACTGGATACTTCGAATAATAATTGGATGGAATATATACCCTTTTATTGATTTAGTGATATCAATTTATTCTATTTTTGCTACATATTCATTCAATACCTCACATTTATTTGCGACCTTTATTAGATATTTTTATATTATATACATCTACAAATATTTTGAGTATATAATTGCTTCAAGTGCTTTGATTTGTGGAACTGTTCTTGGGTTAGTACATATGTCAACATTTAGTTTGACTTTGATTATTTAATAATGATTTTAAAGTTTATAACATACCTATACGTATTTTAATTTTGCTGAAAGATTTAATTGAGTCTCTTTATTCATTCAATTCAGATACACGAGCTCCAGATTTCATCAAGTCAATAACCTATTACGTGTAATTTATTCCGATATTTTCGAAAATAATGCAGATCACAGATGTAGAAGGGAAAACAGATCCATTTTAGTCAGTCAACGGATAACAGGAGCTAAGAATCGCAAGCAATATATATGGATTATAATGTAATTTTTGAAAAGAATTACGGTGTACATACACAAATGAGCTCCCATATTTGGATGCTTACAGTATTTCTTCTTTTAAATTTTGTAATTCACCGAAAGTGAAATACATAGAATATTTTAAAAAACGTTTAGAAAGTAACTGTTCGCGGTGTACATTAAGCTCTGTGTCTATACAGTGCTCGAATTCGATCCGAATTCTCCGATCGAAAAATGTGTTGCCAGTCGACTTATAGACTTTCCGTAAAAACTACATATTAATTAGCTACACATTCTTGAGATCTAAGAACTCAGATCGCATTCTAGTAAAATGGACACAGTAATAAGTTTAGATAGAGGCGTTAAAAAGATAATAATATAATAGATAGACATAAAGTCAAAAGCCCTTTATTATCGAAAAAACGAACCGTACATTTCTCTCTGATCGACGACGTTAATAATAATAATAATAATAATGATGACAACGATGTATCTTAAAAACGATCTAGAAAGTTACAGATTCGGACTTTGCGTCGCGATATTTCCACTCATAGGGCACGTAAAAAAAATAAAAGCACCTTTATTATACAATTTAAGCAGTGGCTATCGATTGAGAGTATATAGAACTTGATCAGTTCAGCCGTTATTGAGATTTGATAATCTCGCGTAAAGTAGCCACGACAATGGGCGCATTCAGCGGACTCAACAGTTGAGTGAGCGCTCGCTATTATTATTGGTGTATTCTTCCAGATCTAAAATTCTGATTGAATGATCTAAAAGAATACAGCAATAACAGCGAGCGCTCACTCAACTGTTGAGTCCGCTGAATGCGCCCAATGTCGCTGCGCTTGGCTTAGCGCCGAGACACTA